TTCGACTCGCAACCCAAATTCGTGCTTGACCAAGCGGGATAAGGATGTTGTACAATAAAATTGACCCTTATTGCAGTCCGACGAAACTTTTCAGATTTACTACACATCTTTGACAGAGACAAACATGCGTTCCGAGGACCAAAAACGGCGCATACCGCAGAAATACTTCAAAAACGTTCGATTTGATTATTCATTAATAATTTCTAAGTGTTTGCTTTGCGTTAAAGCAATATGAATCTTTTACATCGACGGTCAACTTCAACAAGAACGTTGGCCCTTTTTTTTCTTAAAAAATAAGAAAATGCAGCGGTAGACCGAAGTTTTCTTGATGACGCATCAAGTTTTTTCCGAAGTCGTCGAAAGAATAGCACTGGTATCTTTGTGAAGCAGCAATAATAACACTGCTGGTTCCTAACTGCTATTCAACAACATCCGAACAAATAAACTACTTCTCTGCCGTCGTTTTTATTATTCGCAATATTTACAAGCAAGCGTATTTTTTCTAGATGCAACCTTTACTCGTTGTTCAGCAATAAATTATTACTAGCGATAGGGTTCAATCAAAAATCTACGTATAACGTTGCAGGAGCATTCAAGTCATTATCTTGCTAGTTTGCATTTACTAAAGGTGACATGATTGATTCTCTCCGTCTTCCTGAGATTCGGATCAATACTGTGAGTGCATTGTTGATATTTTTTTACACCTTGACCTAACATTAAAAGTTTTTTCGAATTAATTCGACAGGAGAGCAAATATACGTAGGTATAAACGAAGTCTCCAAGCTCGTAGCGACAACGAGAGCGTTCGTTGAGAAAGAGCCCCAAAGCAAGGTACGCCCGTGCTTCGTACCAATTTGTCATTCAATTCATTGGGGAAAAGACTATAATTAGCATTATAGCTCGCCCTTTGATGCTATTCCAATTAACAACATCGAATTAACTAAACTACTTAACTGTTACGTAGCTAATTATCTCAGTTGCACCGGCACAATGCCCACTTCCGTTTATACGAGAACAGGATAAACGTTTACTGCTTTTCCGTTCTTCCTTTTGCGTTGGCCCACTTCCAGAAAGCCGCTCAGAGGAGTCGACGCGCACGGCAGAAAATTATTCAGCTCGGCGAACGTGTGCCCAGCTGCCGGTGGCATGCCTTATAAGGCCCAGTTTGTCGGTGGGCGACCCATTCGTTCCTAACGAGTAGTAAAATCTGCTTTATATCCATAGCGTTTCCAACGCGGAGACAACCTGACGAAACTGCGATTTTCCGTGCTGCTCATCGATCGAAACTAGTGAAGTCCCGTGAAGTCGTTGAAATGGCAAAGTATTCACCACGTGTCCTAGCGATGTCATCACGGCCGCCAACGCGCTAAGGTGCTACGAGATGAGGAACCGATCGTACACTTCCGTCCAGTAAAAACGGAAGTATCATACAATAGCGTTCTGGCTTCGGGATATTCAGATCTGTGCACTGACTTACTAATCCGAAAGTGAATTGGGTGTGCAACTAACCTAGGCAATCATGTGTGTCAAATGCAAAGATACTCAAAGCGTCGATAGTGTAACACGGGGACGATAGGAGGATTAATATCGATCATAGGGTCTGGAGAAGAAGCGGGTTTTTTTACACCATCAAATAGACTTTTTAGCCCTTTTAGTATTGTAGATTTTCGACATCGGCTAAGGGAAACTTCTCTTACGTTTTTCTTCGAAACCGTACATCGATTGGCAATGGTATAGATTATTGATTCCGTAAGTTTATAGTCTGTACGGGAAGAGTTCGTCACGACGGAAACGTTGGCCAACTTATGGTTTCACTAAGACTAATTTTTGGTTGCATTCTAAATAGAACTATTTTTATTTAGATGTAAAAAATTGTGTAACGGTGAATTGGCGCATAGAATGTGTTTACGTTTTCGATTTATCTATTATTGTTGTTGCAAAAGTAGAGGGACTATGAGATGCAATTTGTTCCCAAAATCAATTCGTTACCTTGGATTTTGCCGAAAATTGAAATCATTGCACAATTGTCATACCCTGGCGCCGGGTTGTCTCAGTGCAGCGAGCGAACAAACATAAGTTAATTGACCAATGGCTACGTTTTATCATATAAGTTTTAAGTATCTGCGAACAGATCTAAAGCGCGTGAATAGCAACAGTATACAACGGAAGGTCTTATTCAACTATATAAGTCTCTTTCTTTTCTTTCGTTTTTTTTTTTTTCGTTTCCAAGGTGCTACCTTTCTTCGTTGTAAGGAAATCTATTTCAAGCACGATTTACGGCCGTATAACCTAATGACTGATGACAATCTCGGAAACTCTTGAAAGCGTTAGAGGCTACCGGAGATAAACTGTTATCGATGGTCCCAGGCAGAAAAATAGCAGACCAGTTCAATAATACTCGTTTGAGATCGACAATGGAGAGGACAGTGGTAGTTATTCCACAGACAACCCCAGCTACGCACTCCATAAATTGTGGTCAGTCGTGCGTATTTTCATGAAGTTCTTGTAGCGTTTTCATGATGGCAGGGCTGATATGAACGGAGAGGCGAAGAGCATTTGTATTAAAAAGGAGAACTGCCAACCTTCAGTTGCAGCCATTAGTCGGCCGCACTTGTGGGCTAATAAATTCGCAAAAAAAATAGCAACTATAGAAGGTCGATAAGGGGAAGCGAATCTTGTCTCCCAACACATTGCGACAACATACTTTATTATACAAATATATGTAGTTTTCATGTTTTTCTGAAATATTCATTTAAAATTTCGTCTCAACGGCTTTGATACACTTCGTTCTCATATCAACCCGTTTCTCTCAGCCCTGTTCTACTATAAAATACTGACCAATTGAATTTGGCCTCAGTTAATCCATCGTCAGGAGCTTCTGTACACACACATACGGCTGTAAAAAGCATGCAGAATCGTCGTAATTGCATATAGTAAACCATTTAGCATCTTCTGTGTAGGACCGTAGAACGACTAAACGCATCTGCGGTAGGACCCCCATTTTTATCTGTGTGTTCATTTGGTAGATCCTAATAGACAAATGAAATCAAAGCAAGACAACTGTCAACGATGTCACAGCAGTCTAAAGCTACGAATCGAAGAGGCGATCATAACATTAGCGTGCGGTCAACACGACAGGGCCGCTGACGATTAAGCGGTATCACATCGTCGACTTTAAAGTCAGGCGCTCTGTAACGTTCCGCCACTAACAGGAAGATGCAATGAGCAAGGCCGTAGCCTACGTTTGTCTTTTAGCCAGTAAATACGACTAGCGTAAACGAAGCTGGCTGGCGCTTTCGACCCAAATGTAGATATACAGTCTACATCCCAAGCGTAGTCAAGGGAAACCCGTGAGTTAAATCTAGCCTCGACGCATGAATGGGAATTTTTGAGAAGAAACAGGGAAATTGAGCGACTATCACATCGCGCACTGTGTACGATTGCGTGTGTCGATGCTTACAATCTATTGTAGATGATTAAAAAGATGGAGTCGACTTATGGGTTGCGCATACATCTGTGCGTGCTATAAGTATGTAGTTGGGTCGTTCGTTTCCGTTGTTGGGCCTACGAACGATTTCCGGTACGGCGGGTGGCCGTTCGATAATTAAGATGCCTTCTTCGCTCATGGTTTATTGTTTGTAGGTAGTTAGCAGGACGGTTCTACCTGGCCGAGTGAAGCGCGGACGTTAGAAAGAGGGTATTTATAGACGCCTAGCGACAAATCGCTCGCGGCGTCTGTTGCTCTATTACTATGTGGTAGTATGAGCACGACTAGCTCTTTAACTAGAATATTATATTTGTCCATAATTTTTAAATATCTATTTCTGTAAAACTGTTCATGTGTGTCAATTCAAATAAAGGGTGGTTATTATTTACGCTTTTTTTTTTTTTAATTCTCTTTTAACCCTAATGTCTAGTATTTCATTCGAAAATCTGTGCGAGAGTTTATTTTTGTAGATCGCTTTAAGGTATTTAGGTTAAATAATTTCTTTGTGGAATTTTCTTTGACGCTAGCATCTAATAAATGGAAAAAGCCGCTAGGTGGTGTTTTAAGTTAGCCTTTGCCATGCTAGGGACAAGAACCCTATGAAGATGGTACTCGCACTAAAAAAACAGATCCCTTCATTTCTAACGGACAAAAAGACCACAAACACTCCAATTTCTATCGAGCTATGTGTGTAACGTATGTTTGAAGTTGTTTTACACGACCGACGACTCCAACTGGAGGCGCAAATAAATCTTATGTTAGCAGCCATCGAAGCCGGAAGCCGGCGTACTGTTTGCTGATTTATACGTGGAGTTGATCAAGTATGCCTTGAATAAAGGTGAGCTCCTAGCTGAATTCACTAGTTAAGTTGTTCAGGGAACGCAAACGAAGTTACCACATGATTTTTCGTCTATTGCTTCAAATAACCACTTTACAAACTTAAATGTATCTGTTTCTATTTGAAGAAAAATTAACATTAATTGGATTTTAAGCAATTACTTCATGTGTTTCAGCGGACATTCTGCTTACGGGGTGCTGGCTGTTTTGAGCAAAAAATACTTAGACATCTAATAAGTGACGTAACACCCACTTTATAAATAGTCCTGTCAAACATGACAGACCTTCTGCAGCGCTCGATCGGCATCGCATGAACTTCTCGGTCGTCCTCTCTCGCGCGCAGACATACATAGCGTAGGATGACCAAGTAGTTGGAACATGTCCACTTGATGATACTGCAAGCAACAATATATTGGCCTATTCCTTTCCGTCGTGTCCAAAGCTGCCCACCCAGCCAAATCAGTATTTTAGCTGTACTCTATACGAGTCGCGTTACCAATAGGAACCAATAGAAATATAATTACAGTGAATCTAACGTGATTTCGTTCGCGACGAAAAGCGCCGACCACGTCGTATATGGATACTCACTTCTTTATTTTTCCAGACAATTCAAAGGGTAATTGGCTTTAGGTAGCCGGGCTTATTTCAAAGAGAGATCTGCTCTAAAACATTTTTTGTTAAATTTTATTTTAGCAAATTATAAACATGCCATTGTTGTGTTATGGTCGGCTTTCTGTATGCTGAATTTTCGCATATTTATGTTTTATGTTTATATCCATCTTGGTAGAGAAGGTTTTTTAATCAACGAGGGATGATGATAACACCTACTTACTCGCCGTTTTGATCAGATTAGCTTTGGATCCGCAAGCCTTCGCATAAAGTAAAAGTTAGGCGAGACAAAGGGTGAGTTTACGATTCAGGGTTTACTTTATCGTCGATCGTTGCTCTAACCAATAGATTAGCTAGGATTAACCCAAGCCTGTTGGGCTAGAAAAAAAAAGTTAAGCTTTATGGAAAACATAAATTTGACTGGGGAAATGTTCTCGTTGCGAGCATTTCCTTGAAGAATCCGCAACGCTCGATTAGTATAGTGAAATGCACACAATACCCATTGCTGCAATACAGAGGACTGAACGATGCTGTTTCTAAAATACATTGCTTCAATTGGGTTCTACGTGTTTTCTCCTGTCACTATGGTACTACCTACTGTTATAGCGTTAATGATTTACGGTTGGGGATGTTTGCGTTATCTAACAGCTACTGCTTGTAATTGCAGACGACGAAAAAACAATTTTAAGCTGTCTTAATAATCCAGTTCGTATTGGGCGGACAGTCTGACATCGAAACGCAATTTTACTCTTGGATTATGAAACATCCAACTTGCTAAGGATAAAATTTGTGTTTGCTACATATTATTATCATCTTATAATGTGTATACATTGTATTATCTTTAATTAGAATGTAGAAAAGGATAGTTTTGTTGCGTAACAAAAAGTATCGATGCTATTTTATCGATAGGTACGATGAAATCTCACTGGCGTCATGAGTAAATTTATAAAAATACTCAGCTTGACTCACATCTAATAACTGCAAAATGCTGAGTCTACACGTCCGACTAGCTTTCATTAGAGATCTGAGACCACTAGAATAGAATCAGAGCACCGGCGGCACAATCATGATTGCATACATTGAAATTTCGGATCTCATTTTTTATTGGACATTTCGCTGGTAAGGTCTACTTGGTTCATCTCATCATGACACGTTCTTGACGTTGATGAGCATGCGTCTGATCCAAGCCCGTAACAATATTCACATTCAATTTCTCTCTAGTGGCGACCAATGTTGGAAACCTGTCACGAGGGCAGACTCGACCTTTGCTTACCAGCAAAAAGTGTTCAAAGAAAATGCGTTCATCTATTCAACTAGCTCACCACAGAAAGGGTTTGTTTTCAAGGCTGACCGCCAAGGGGCGCTAGTACTGATGTCAGGCAATTCACAATATACAGTAATCGAAATTCCACCCTACCGAAAAATTGGATTGCGGCCAGCTATTTCCAATATCGATAATAGGACTATGAGGAATACCCAAGGCAACATGACCTGAAGATCCGCAGCTCATAGTGAAATATCCTATATATAATAGCTTTATGCAGCGTATGTATTACAGACGTTTCTTTTCCTGCAAACTCTACTTCAACCTCGTTAGGTAACCTGTGCCATTCCAGTTCATTAGGACGGCTTGGTTGAATCGAAGATCTGTTGCCTCGTTTGGGCGCGCATTATCTCTTTGTAAATTTCGTTGACGGCTCGCTGTGCACCCGAAGTCCTTCGCATGGCGCTTTCCAGATATATGCGACTTTTCTCCTCGAGCGTGCTAATTAGCCGCTAAATGAATATAAGAACCGAAAAATCAGCCGTTAGCCTGATACAACTTCCTTTCAGATGTTTGCTCTACAGTTAGTAACTTGAAACATGCACTGAAATAGAATAAAATAAAATCATCCTTTAGAACTTGAACAGACCTAGCACTAACGACTAACTCAATCCAGTTGCATTTCGTCACGCTTTTACTTTATATAGGCCCCACTAATAAATAAAAAGTACATACAACCTACATAAAAATATAATATTTAAAATGGTACTATGTAAGTAGTACATAAGCAGATCAATTATTTGCACTGCATTTTCGAATAAGGACGTGATACTTAGGTCGTAATACTGAACAATGGCCACAGGACATCCCGGCGCCTCTTGTAAACAGGAACTTACAAATAATAATCAACATATGTTTTCAGCCTGTTCCAGTTAAAAAAAACCATTAAAATCTATTTTGAAAATGATTCAGTCCAGTCACTTATCAAATCACTTGGTATGAAATCTTTGGGATTAGAGTCAATTCCCTTTACGTAAAAGCACCTGGAAGCCCTAAGCTGAATTTCACATGACCTTATGTAATGATATCAATATCTCCCATTTTATAACAATTCTCAGTTGAGTGTAGCACTACAAACCTCTCTGTTTCGACGGACGATTACTTCCAGAAGGTATCGAAGAGCTCCGTTGAATGGCGCAAATCCACTGACTTCATCGACAGTGATTGTTTGAAGTCTGGTCACTCCAAGGTCTACGACCTCAGCTCCACTTGGCAGCATTCGTAGATCAAACATGATCACTAAAACAATTAATGATATATATATTGCTATAACTTTATTTCTGTTTTTTGTCTGATCCACACAATTCAGTAGCTTGAAGTGATCGGATTAGCGTGATAAAGCTGCATTTTAAGCTGAAGCCGACTGGATGACTATTTTTTCACGAGAAGAGCCTGTTTTTTATCTTACTACGAGTTACGTTACATTGGGCGAGTTGTTCTTTTCTTTTTTGCATTTTCTTTTTATGTATTTTATGCCGTTTTCTAGAAAGAATTTTTATACATGTTTACGAGAATGTAGGCTATAGTTTAGTAGAATTTTTACTGAAAAAAAAAAACTGTTTACTGATAAATTGGCAGCCAAAAATTTATGTGAAGGTCATAAGCATAAAGTGAAATTGTTGGATGAATATTTTTTCCTAAAAGAGGTTTTTTCTAACCTATAAAGAGTAATGTTCAGATCCCAATTGTCAAGTAAAAAACTTAACCTAGTGTTCTATACAAGGGTTTCTTTTTATGACACCAATCAATAGATTCCGTCCAACTAAATCAAAATGGTAAACATATTCCTTGAGTTAAAATATATATATTTCAGCATGAAAATGGTCAAAAACCTATCGAGAGATACGTCTCGGCCGCATGACACTGTGTTGTAAGCGCCCTTTAAATAACTTCTTAAGCGAATTTCCGAAAGCTGTGACGTCCAATAGATATATAGCGAACATACTAGTATTTCTGGGAAGAATAGCAATGTAGCATTTTGTTAAAATTTTTCGCATCACTCGTTAGACCTTAACAAGCTGAGTAAAAACGCAATGCATCTTTTTATAGGTAAATGTATATATTCAGGCCGAAAACCAAATGGGGTAGCTTGCGTGATACTGGGGTGCAAATTTTTTTGCATGAAAGTCGATATAATTTAGTATTTCTTTATGCCAGTGAAAAGCTAATAGAATTAAATGTCGATAGGTTAGGTCAGAATGCAATACTCATCTGTCGAAAATCCAAACAATCTTAGGGTACTGACATGGCGTTCTATGCAAAGTAGAGCCTCATAATGTTGACACAAATGGATAGATCTCGGCGCTGTAAGCCATACGTCTCAAAATTTATATTTACGACCGAAAATTGAGAAATAAATATTTTATCGATTGTACTGCCTAAGTAACAACGGTCATTTCTAATACATGTCAATTAACGAAAAAGTTAATTATATTATTATTATTACTTAAAAAGAAGTTATTATATTATTTCGTTATACAGAGTTAAATTTCATTAAAAAAAAAATGTCCCTGATTCATTTTTAGAAACATTTAAGATGTCAAGGGTAACTAGTAGGCTAAGGAATTTCCGATAACGAAATTTTATTAAATATAAATTGATAACCATGTAATTTTTAGTAATAGTTATTCTTATAATCTAACATTCCTCTATGTGGACTATCTGAGTATACTTTATGCCAAGTATAAAAACGTTAGTGATATCGACGACATGTTTTATCGGGCTTTCGGTTCGTATCACTGCTACCCGAACAAGATAGCCACTTAGCGTTTTTGCAGCCCACGCTTGTGTCCTCTCAAGACAGTCACGTCATCAGTTTTAGTAACGAACATCAGTATTAGAGTCGGCAAAATGTAATAACTGCTGCAGAAATGGGTTCTTTTGAAAAGGAGTCGCTTCAGAGCGATGATGTCAGAATAGCCGAGAGCTGTCTCAAGCAAAACTAGACCAGAAAACAACAAAAGTAATTGCCGCTTACTTCGAAAACTACCAACCTGCTTCTTACATGATATCTATTTCTGTAAAACGTATCACGATGCAATAGCTACGACGCGAGCTTCGCCCTAATCTGCCAGTAGGAGGCTTCAAATCGCGTAGAGCTGATTTCAAAAACAGAAAAGGTCTTCTAATTTCCGTGTAAACAAATCTGATAATACGTTTGTACGTCAGCGTTCACACGCATGACAAAAGTCGCACGGACCGGCGACACAATAGAACGGTTCGATGATTAGAAACAACTAAAGAGCTGAAATGGGGCCTATTGTCATAGTCAAATTCAGAACGTAATTGGGCGTCAGCAAAACTATTCACAACATTACGTGGTACGCACAGCGGCACGTGACCGCCGCCACACCGATCAAATTCATTATCGTGAAAACTCTTCTGCTAACTAAATGAATGCTTTACAATAGAAAACTACGAACACAGTCGTTACGTAAATTCAGTGTTGGTCTTCTTCAGACGCAATATCGACGCCGATAAAGTTCATCAAGGTATGTATTCTCATGTATGATTGGATAAAATGGTACGCATTACGTAATGGGCAGTTCGTACATAACGTTCGTATGTCCTTGTTAGGCTTGCTTGTGTATAAGTAGATGTTCCTCGTAACTAGTTGTCCTATGGGGTGCTACACACAAGGCTATGAAGCTACCCCGCCTATTAATATTCCCTGTTCAACAAAGTCAACGCCACTGAATAGCCAATGTAGGAATATCATTGTACCCCCCGGCTTCCCAGCGTTGGCTCGTGCTGCAATTTGCGTACAGACATTTATGGATAACAATGATTAAGACAGCACATTTCTCTCTCATCGTCGAGAATGGCGCGCCGGCGTTCCTATCGTAATAATTACTTGTATTCGATGGTTTGTTCCTCGCCGCAGACTAAGCGCGCGAAACAAAGGAATTGACCAAAAGACTCCAAAAAATTGTTACTACTTTGCAGACTATCACGGGCTCCTCAATGCAGGATCGTCGCCAACAAATCTATTCTTAACTCAAGAGTAACATCGCTGGTTCGATGGTTAGACATGGCCGAATTTTCGTGTCCGCTAAACAAACTGTTACTACACTTAATATTGTTATTACTATGTGTACCTCTATTAATTTCACTTTTCTTCATTCATTTTAAAGTAGTAAAATAAATTATTTTTCTTCATTTTAATTTAAATCAATGGTATCCATGTAGCGACCTAGCTTTTAACTATAACGACGTGACAACGATGGAATCGCAAGAATCTCCAGCACCCAATAGGGGTAAACGTCGTGTCGGTGTGATAGATATCTGACAACCTGTATCGTACGTCTGTCCGTTAGCCAATGACAATGATCGGTGTTGTTTTCAACATGCTTCCCCCTATATCTTAGTAACGAAAACATGTTACCTTCAAAACTGTGCGTCTTATCTATGTAAAGAATACAGCCTGTCAACATTGGCAAGATGATAACGTAACTGTTATTAAATATCTGTGTGTATGCACAGCTCTTGTTGAAGTTTTGTTAGTGAAAAAGCTCGGCTTGATGGAAAATATGCAGCATTATTATACATTATAGCGAAATATTGTTAAATAGAAATATCTATTAGCGGCTAGAGGTAGGCTCGGTTGGACTTCTACGAGGATCGCTTATTTTGGGCAAAATTCATACTAATAAACGAAGCTCGATTTCCTCTATAAACCTGTTATATGTAAGTATCAAATATAAATGCCCGTTGCATACGATGATACGAACTAATATACGTCGCTCAAATAACTATGTGTTCTAAAACCTCAAACAAAACTTAGCCCCATACTGCGTATGGGTATTGTATGATTTTACTGTTTTCAGGGCAATTTAACACGCAGCATGAAGTTTGCCCTTTAAACGGAGCTCGCTAGAGTTGGAAACCAAAAACCAAATCGGTTATATTCAGTGACTAGCAGTATTGATGAAGGACGCCTATCCTTCCCGTGCTCGTATAAGAGGTTCTGTGTCGTCAAGGCCATTTATCGTGAAGCAGCTTGTCTGCACCACGAAAACGGGCTTCTAGTTCGCACTAGGCCCGCAATATCGTCCAAACGTTTTATCGCAGGTAGCTCCGGCCCACTGCGTCCGCGATTTGGCTGCTGTCTTGTACCGCTTCTTGCATCTATAAGATATTGATGTTATCGATCATTCTATTTTTCTTTTTTGGTGAGATATCAAACCAAATCAAGCTATTCCAATTAGATCATACGAGCTACTGGAAAAGACATCCAGTCGCGTTCGGTAAAAGTCGCAGTGGCAAAAATTATTAAAAGGAAGCTGGCATCGAAGACGAAAAGATAACGGGTCCTAGGAGCTAGATATTGTATTGGCGCTACTTAGGCGTCGGATAGCAGCCACAATGGGTGATAGAAAAATCGCCGAACATAAATCAAACGCCAATTACCAGAGCATTTATGATTTTAAAACTGTGACGTGCAGCTTACCTTTTTGGGCAAATACACGAAGGAAAATGTATCGCTTCTTCGTGGGTGAAGGACATTTACTCATAGCATACTTGCTGGCCAGAGCAAATTTGTAGCCTGTATTGGTTGTTATTTAACTAAAAAAAATATTGGCACAATCTGGCTAAATCTCACTTTACTTTTTACGTCCGATTCACATTTAATAACGTTATCTGGCTCCGCCCCATGGGGCGAACCATTTTCAGCACTCCCGTAAAAAGTGAAAATGCCATTTTCATTTTTTTCGATGTCGTTTCCACACATACTAAGGAACACTGTGTAAAAATATTGAACTTTCTCTCGAGCAGATCCGCACTTACCGACTCGGTTAAGGCCAACATGTACGCTTCCGGTAACGTTCGGTAGAAACCATGGCAGTTTGTAGCGGTAGTTCCCTCGAAGCGTGAGCTTAGGAGATCCCAGCCGGATCCGAATACGCAAATAATCCTTAGTAATATTCAGATGAGCATTTCCGTCCCTGGATCAGGTAGAGTGGGACACAGTCGGTAGATACTTCAAGCTGTTTTTTTAGTACAAAACCCTGTGATATGGAAACGCCGATTGTGATGATTTCCTCCTATCGTTAATTGGTCACCATATTAAAGAGCAAAACGATTGCCGGCAATATTTTACACACTAGAGACGACTCAATCTTAAAATTGGTCCAGCTGAGCCCAGAAATTTGCTCTGTCTCTTACTACACCATATTACATAACCTCACTTGAAAAGTTCTGTATACTTGTTTTGATAACAGATCGGCTAAAGTGTTACATTGAACAAAATTAGAAATGCAGCAGAGGAACTTGAGATTCTCTAATTGGCTACTATTGGCAGCTAAACTTCAAACGGTTCTAACCTATCCTTTCACTGAAAAGACATTTTTTGTATAGACGAAAAAGAACGATAATAGCAACCGTCAAACAAGTTAAATTAGCTCAATTGCACTTTAACTTAATGTTAACTTCTCAGAACCATTTGCTCACCTGTAAACATCACCTATTCCTAAAAATGTCATATTCGTGAATTGAAGATTTCCCTGTTGAAATTGGCCTAGTTTAGTAGCATTAATGTATGCGTCAAGTCTGGGAAGATTCTTAAGGAGGTCATCAACGAAGTCGTTGGCTGCAGAGGTTCCTGGTCCCGAAGGACCTTCATCAAGGTTGTGATAAAATTTAACTGGATATATTTGATCAATTTCGTTGGCAAATGGCGGCAAAAGCAAATCATCTTCGCGCTCGAGTGCATTGATCACTAAAAACAGAAGAAAAAATAAAAGTAGGACAACTCGGAATTATTTGAAATCTATTATATATATATTGCCCTGCACCCCTAACAGGAACTCCACTAATAACTAGCACGTATTTCTTATATAATTTCTCTAGTAAAGCCTTGAGTGAAAAAGGAAGGATTGCTGGCTCGAGACCCGCAACCGACATTTAACGCAAAGATGCGTATTTGAATAAAAGAGGAACTATTTTGGCCATATGCTTGACAAATCTGGGTCCGCCATAGAGCGTAGTGAGAAAATTGCGATTTTGGAACAATGTCTGAGATTATTTGACCGTAAATTTTTTCCATTCCTGCTCACTATACGATTTCGAAATGGGTCATTCCACCTCATCGGTTGCAGTTGGTAAGCTAGCAAATTTAGTTAAAATTATAATTAAATCACAGACTTGACCAAGATCAACCATGGTCATACGATATCGCCAATAGTATTGACGCTAAGCGGACTGCGGCCTGCCCCATCGTAGTTTTAACGTAAACGTAATAAAACAACATCAGTTTTGGAAGAGCAAACGCCAAATTCTGTACGGTCCGAGTCGGGGCCCCTCGACACCAACGTCCGATAGCAATAATATACATAATTTTTTAACAGTTCTCTATGTAAAAATGCCAGAGTCAGCTTAAAACAAGGCCAATAATCGTGCGGTTGTCGAGACGTTTCTGCTTCGAGGTTCACCTTTTCCACGCAGCATAAAGCAGGTACTATGATGGTCGGCCGAAAAAATAATTTTCTCTGTGAATGCATTCGTTAGTCTACGTTTATGCAAGACATCATATCTAAAAGTAGAGTCATAATGCGGGAACAGTTACGTACGATAGAAGTGTTTATGTGTATCTTTAAAAAAGGTCACGTCTAAAAAAGATGTCAGTCGAAGAAGATTTGACCAAGCGATAATATGTTGCGCTGCTTTTCCAGGGTTTCAATGAGGTAACTGCAGTATTCGCGTCTTTTTTCCGCAAAAATAAGCTTGATCACAGCTGCCTGACTAGGTTCAGCAGTACCGCATGCCCCGATGCGATTTCTAGAACAATGTACTGTGGCTTTTATCTAGCTAGCAGAAATACGCTACGAAGAGGCGCTACAGATTCTTAAATTTCAGCAAGCTATATCCACCCGATAATTACTATATGAGAATAGAGGTGCTGTTTCTTCCTTAAAGTGTAAGTTTTAAATCAGTTTTAACGCAGACTTACAGCATAGTTGTAACTGTGCCATAGTGTATGCTCTGTGAACCAAATGAGCAAAAATAGTTTGCGGTTCGCCATTGAAAATACATAAGGCAGTACGAACTCTGTAACAAGGGATGAACGTTTCGTGACGCCATTAGAATCCTCGGCCTCAAACTTGAAACCCAACCATGATTTAGTTGACCGTCACGAAGCGCCAAGCGGCGTGTCTTGATCGAGCCGGCAATTTCGTCCATAATTTTTATCAGACACAACACAGTTTTATATATATATATATATATATATATATCATATAAATAATCACCGGCGTCGATACTATAAAATTTCTATTTCGAAAAAGTTACTCGAGTATTCGATCCCGTTACTAATAACTGAAATCGTGTTATTAATTCTAATGTTGTGATAACTAACCATCGGCTCATTATATTCCTCTAAATATGCCCCTATTATAATAGTATTTTTTACTTAGACTTGTCATTTGCAAGGGCATGTTTCGCTAACTATCACCTTTAAGCGTGTATGTACAATGTTTTTTTGCGATAACTGTTCAATTACACGTCAAGTGAAAAAATAACCGCTGTATCAGTAACGTATTTAGCATTGTCCAGTCGTACTAATATTTATATAGACTCGTGCCCCTTCTCTTTGTTTCATTGTCAAACAAAGCGAACCGTTGCTAATACAGGTTGTCGCCAGCGCTACGCAATATAACTAATTTATGAAAATCCAGGGTAAAATACATTACTTCTACTATCGAACAAAAGTAACAGTATTAATGGAGGCTATTTTATTCGCCACAGCTCATCTTTATTTGGATCCTGTTTTTGCTAAGCAAAAAAGATAAAAACGGTAACATGCCATAGTAAGAATACGGGTGGGCACAAAATTATAGAAATGTTCGCATCCGCTGTGAGATTATTACAGGGGGGGGGGGGGTGGAAGGTCACACAGCCGGTCACTGTGGTACGTTTCATCATATGTTGATAATGCCGTTGTTGGAAGCGTAGAAGGCATTGGAACAGTGCCTGTGTTAAATTGTTTATCAGGCACACTTACGGGCTAAGTATGAAACGTTGTTGAGCGAGACCGTATTCAGTCATCTAAATGCATGAACGGAACTGAGAATAGAAATCTAGACAGAAATAAAAGAGGCCTGCTGTTTCAAAGACTTGCTATTACTAAGGACTGTTACGCTAGAAACTAATCACTGGTCCTTCGTTCCAGTCATAGGCGCTTCTCAGGGAACAGGAAGGTGCGCCGGTGCAGTTCTAAGTGCATATATATATATATATATATATATATATATAAGTGCACAAATCCACGTAGCAGGTATTTAATGGAAAGGAAAAAAAGAAAGGGGAAATTCTACTTAGAAAAAGATATCACAGAACCGGCCGGTTGCCCTAAAATGGTAAGATTAATGAAGACCAAAGCTGTAACTAGCTTTTTAGTTTACTAAATCAATGGTTGTATTTTATAACAATAATAATTTTATGTCCTTGCAAAGCACACACAAGTGGACACACTCACTGTGAATCAAAAGAGACACCAGGGCCAGTAGCAGCAAGCCAGATATATGTCGCATCATATAACTGGCGTGGGTATGTTCTTTGCAAAAAATTCCTTATATAATGTGCCTGACCTCACTAAGTGCATGTACATAAATATTCCACTTTCACAATAGAGTTTCAACACTGAGCTTCGTTTCGGCTAGTGGTTTACTGCACACGTCCGCATATGCCTCTCAGGCTGTATCTAACCGCAGGATGAAGTCGTTCGACTTTTTTCATCTAGGTTTCTTACTAGTAATAGTTCTCACAAAAGCATCAAGTCTTCGCAAACTACTCAACAGAAACGGTCCAGATCACCGGAGCCATCAGCTGATGCTATGTCAGCAATGGCATGCACAAATGGCGATAGGTAAATTCGCCTTGCTAAGCGCTCCTGCCTCTAGCTACTGTTTAAACGTTAGCGGTTTTTCTGGAGGCTGTCATGATGAACAGAGCTGATAAGCGAGCCACCGCAGGACAACCCACGCTGCCCAGAACGAAGGGCAAACGGACCTCTCACCGAAGCGCTACAGAAAGCCCCGAGAAGGCGATAGACTGTTTCTGGTGTTCTAGAGAAAGCACGCTGCGATCACTAGCCAAACAGACGCACTTATACACTAATACGCATATTATACGCAATTTAATTAGATTTTTTATCGGTTTAGTCAGAGAAAAGAGCATTTTTGCCGCTGACTCGACCAGTCCACCTGATGGAGGAAGGCAGATTTTGTCGGTTGTATTATCGAAAACCTGTTGAACATTAACAGGAACTTATTGCGCGTATTGTAGTATGATAGCATTATACTGCATGCACGAACTAACTTAACAACGCTGCCACTGGCACACGCATCGGCTCGGGTCGAGAACGATAATGATTTTCGCGTCGTTCTGTATGTGAGATGCTACATTCAATTTTTTTCTAATTCCTGTAATTATTTTAGAACATGTATGTTACTGCTAGTTCAACTAATGTGTTTAGGCTGTATAAATTCGTTTTTTATATGGTTACAACTATGGCCTGAAGTTAAACTCTGATACAACTGTTGAAAGTTAATGCCTGCGCAGCTTTTCTAGAATACTTCAAGACTTCAAGTGAGGATCGAGTCCGTGCTTTGGCCGCGAGCCAATAAGGTTTTTATTGGCTCCATTTAGATACCGGTTCTGATAGCGCAATCGTTAAAATGCGACACAAAGTGAATGTCACCTGTAAGATAGTCCGCCTAAAGCACAGATAGCACAAGTTCTATCATAGTCAGTTCCCTTGTTAAGCCTGCAAAGTTTTTAGAGGAGTATAGCCGTGGTTTCATGAGCACTTACTCATGTCGTGAGAAGAGTTGTACACTAGGAATTACTTAAGATAACCCCCAAGTAGATGAGTATAGTAATGACATGAAACGAACTTAACCTCCCCATTTTTCGGCCTTTGATCTTTCTTTTTATGAATAGAAGGTGAAATCAACAGTTATGCAGGGTGAATTAAGTAAATCTTCTTTCTTTTTTAAATAAAAATCAGTATTTTTAGCTGGAAAGAAGGTCGCGGCTCCTACGTCTAGAGAAGCACATGCCCTGTCTGTGACATCCGTCATATCTTAAGTGCTTTTCACAGGTTTTCAGTACTGCGGACCTAAAACGTGGTTCCGTAAGTGTTCTCCCTCAAAACATTTGTTGAACATAATCGAGTAGAGGGTTAGCCGCCCATTGCAACTATTTCCTAGGTCGAAGTTTGCCAAATCGAATGCAAAACGAACTTTCATAGTGAGCCTCTAATTGAGTCTGTTTGGATTGTAAAGATCAATATATGTGAGAAGCAATGGCGTTTTCAAGAAAAGAGACACAAAACCGACTGCGCCACCTGTAATTCTAACCTATAGTTTACTATGACGTAACAGTTCTCTGTGCACTAATGGCTAGCAACTTGAACTAGCCGTCACTCAATGACAAATCTTTAAAACAATCGTCTAAAAATTAGCAATGCTAAATGGGACACGTATATAATCCAGTTGTTATCATAAGTATATGTATTATAGTGGTTGAAATGAGGAAATAAAACCAGATGATAGTGGTATCAGTTTATGTATCATAATTGTGTTCCATATTCTGTGGCTTTTAAATGCCGATCAGCCGTCCACATATTCACGTCATGGTTTATCTGTAAATAGTTTTAATAGAAGCGGCATAAAAGCTGTTCGTACCCCCCGCTCCCCCACATAATATAATATCACTAACACCAGTTGAATTTAGCGTAAGAACATTTGACCGTCATAATACGACGTCTATAACAGTGCTATGCTTACGTTCGGCCATGTAAGCGGATCAGCCTATTTTTAGTTGAGTGCTGCCGGAACTTCGCGTCAACTCGAATGTGGCTGACTCTGCGCTTCTGTCGGGTCTCGATTGAACGCTCTTCAAAAACCCTATCATACCGATTGTTTCCTCCACTGGAGCGTTACTTTTTCCATAGATCGCATCAACCAGGGTTCAGACCGTCGTCTGATCTCCCGTCGTGTTCAGTCTAAGCGCACCAAGCAGCGTTGGAGCGAGGGTAGTACCTACGCTTAACAAAGCCTAAATTTCGAATTTGACAGAAAATGACGTTACAGCTCAAACGCCAGCGTACAACGGGAACACGACTTCACCAGCTGGAAATGTTCCATCTAACCTATTTACTCAACTTACGTATGATCTGAAAGAGAGAGTAGCTGAGATTCCGCGGGGGAAGTCAGCCCCGAGCTGCCTGCTACCTAAATCGTTCTGAATCTTTTTAGAAAGGCACGCCCCATTGGCGATCCTAATAAGGACGTACAAGAGACGCCAAAAATGAAGAATGCACAGGTACAGGATGAAGTACTCGGGTCACTGCGGGGTAGCAGGCGGTGGTCTTTAGTGCTACTAAATGTATAAACAATGTAAGATATAACGAACTAATGCCAATGGGTCCTCGCGAAGCATTTAGAACATTCTAATCAATATCATTGAATAGATTCAGATCAAATGATGCATTAAAGTTTATTGAATTTCGCAAGCCCTTAATCGTATATGCTTAAAGGCCCAATAGCTTCGCTCATTTCAGGCGTAGAACCCATGTATGAAACAGTATACCTACATAAAAAACAAGATTCATACATATCACGCACTGAGGATAAACGGTCGAGTCTATTCTGAATTGCGTGATGGTCTAGCAAGCACATCGAATTAATAATATATTATATTCTGGTCAGAGCATTACTTAACAGCATTTTGGATCCTAACTACGTTCATCGAGTGAGCTGTTAGAATAGAAGTAGTGGTATTTTTCTTCAAATTATTTCTAAAAAATACTTATACGAATCAATGATATGAACTTACTTTGATGATGACGATGATAATAATAGAACTTAACGATGAAGTTTGCTAGACATTTCATTTATAGCTACTCTTAACTAATCATTTTACCGTCAAACTACATAAAATAGGATATGGAGCTCATATAGGGTCTCATATTACCCTAATACTAGGATTTTTCAGGAACGCATGGAAGAATATAGAAGAACAAAGCAGCTCTTCGGACAGGGAAGACGTTGCTGGGGTAGCGATACATGACCTTGAACAGTTAAACCATTGCTCGCTTGATCTCTACTCGGGAGGCCCTCTAGATCTCCTGATCTCGTCCTCCTTCTCTCTTGCCTCTGGTTAGTCTGATCATATGCTATTAGCGGTGTTCGCACTAATGCTCCGATTATGAACATTACTACATCTTTTTACCAAGCACCTACATATGCACAACAACTGAATACGATGCAATGTTACATACAACTGCGTGCGGGTGCACCGAAGAACGATGCGGAGAAGCCAAAGTTATTCCAATACGTAGTAACGATTACCATTTGCTCGGCAAAAAAAAACAATAGCATTCTGCAGAAGCGTTGCTTCATATTTGTTCGAACCATACATTTTGCGCTGCTAATACCGTTTGCCAAAGCGAGTAGCAGATGTTTCGTACGCCGTTTTCAGTGTTGCCATGTCAATTTATAATGAGACCTCGTTGCCATAAATTTATTAATTATATATCTCCATCTGATCTAGCCGATCACCAGTCACCTCATGCGAAAAAAATACATCGCACTGTGCAATGTTAGACGAGTTTCTGACCGTCATTCTCTATGTTTCCCAAACAAAGAGTCGACTACAAACAGGTAGTGCCTTCTGAGCACTGCCCTAATAACACTCAAGGCTTTAGACTCTCTGCCAGGAGGGCGGAGCTTGCAAAGTCACTTTCCGGTTATTGTATATCTTCGTCTCCTTTTTTAGTTTGTAATCCTCGCCCTCGTTTTGCCGATGTCTTACTACGGGCACGGTGCTAAAATGCCAGTACTGATCAAACAACATATATATATATATCCATTTCTACAGACGGTATTAACATACTTTGAGCCCGCATCGACTCACAGTGAGGCCTATCACCAGCGGAGCAGCGGAGCTAGAGGGGGAGCGGGGAACAACAATTTTTAACGTAAATATTAGAATATCACGAACTCTATCCAACCGTGTAGAAAAAGAGTATCGCAACAGTGCCGTCTCTGTAAAGAGCGCCGGTATAGACCAACAGTAGATCGCAAGTTAGTTCCATGCTCGCTCCTGTATGTAGGGGGTCTGCCTTGGCGCTCTTTCGCTTTTTATTCTATTCACTCCTTGCAGAGATCAGATTGTCTTCGCCTTTGTCAGAGCACTACAGTCAAGATGGTTGAATCTAACACTACTTACAAAATAGATGAAATTCCTGAGATACCTTAATTACCCGTCCTCCGCTTCGAAACTTAGTTACTGCCAATACGAGGAGAAGTACTAGTTAGTACTTCACGGCCAGCTGGTGGGTCGTTCGATAGAGCCAAAGCTGACAGTCGATAGCGGTTCCAAAAGTTAGGAAGTTCAAGCTTACGAAGAGTGACTTACATAAAGGATGAGAAGTCTGTTTTTAGATCTTCCCGCGCCCACCTATCGTGTCAGGTGTTGTAATGGCGCTTGCCGCTTTCAATGCTTGTTGCCAATAAAACTGATGTTTCGCGGATTCGGCTGATTTTTACTGCGTCTTGATTCCTGGACGAAACGATAGTTGGATCGATTTATTTATTTACCTGCCTTATTGACAGTGGTGTCCCTGTGACCGTAGATAGCCGAATATTATCACAAGCGCTGCTTGAAAGCGAAACCCAATAGAAAGATGCGTTGAATAAACGTGCTGTCTCGATGTGTTGGCCCTTTTTCAGGATGACATCGTGCGACACTGTGGACGCTCGGGTGACACAGGAATAACATCGAAATTGTTTCATGGGAGAGTGTTCTCACGCTTGAACTAACAAAATCCGATTAAAAACACTGTGATTAGAGCCTTTTTTTCG